GTCTTCTCTCAACCCGTCGGATCAAATCTTACTGACTATGATAGAATATGCCTGTAGTCTGACAGGCGAGAAATCGTGAGACTCTTTTGAACCTAATTAGCCATAATTAGATATCCAAATACTGGAAATCCAGGATGGCTGGAAAACGGATTGAATGCCTGAGTCTGACAGGCGATTGCTCCCGGCCATGATATCCTCACTGGATCCAGGATGGCTGGATGGATTGGACAGTGCAGGTGATGTTTGTTAAGCTAGCCAATAGTATTTTCCTCCATTAAAGAACCGACACCAACTGGGTAACAGTGTCTTCTCTGGTCTGGCTTGTCCTTAATGCGGACGAAACATCAAGACTTGTGGTTCTGAGTCTTGGTTGGGTCCACGCTGTACTACACGGAGAAGAAGAGTTAAAACGCTGACGTGGACAGAAACGCGCCACATTGATTCTCTTTGACATCAGCCACATCCAAGCATGGGGTATGCCATCAGCTGATCAGGTGCTAAGTCTGTCTCCAACAGGAGACTTATTGTCGAACCCAAATCTAAAATGGGTCTCCAACATAATACATATAACCTACAATAGAATACCTATATGAAAGACCCATTTTGAGTGTTAGGAGAGGCATAACCCAAATCTAAGTATTCTCTCTCCTGGAGACCCATTTACAGAAAGTGTTATATTTTTGTCTTGTTGTTGGAGAAGACCAAAAATATATATTGAATCATTTAACTGTAGCTCTACCCAAATAACGAACGGATCTTGTATTTTGGGTCGTGGTTGTTGGAGACAGTCTAAGGCCTTGTTTAATAAATCCAAGAGCTATAGTTTAGGAGTGTCACATCGGAGTATCACATGAAAGTGTTCGGATAGTAATAATAAAATAAATTATATAAGTCCTCGGTACTCCGCGAGACGAATTTATTAAGCCTAATTAATCCGTCATTAACACATGTTTACTGTAGCACCACATTGTCAAATCATGGACTAATTAGGCTTAAAAATTCGCCTCGCAAATTAGTCGCAATCCATACAATTAGCTATTTTTAATCTATATTTAATACTTCATGCATATGTCCAAACATCCGATGAGATAAAGAACTAAACTTTAGGGGAAGAAATTAAACAAGGCCTAAGTAGTTTTTCAACACTACTTTGCATTAGTTTTTCAGTATTCGCAGGTGCCAAGTAGTATGGGTTTCCTTGAGACATATCGCCCTGTTCTTCAGCACTATTTTGCAGTTGTCGGTGTAGAAAGTGACCAACACGTAAATATTTATAGTTTTGCCATACGTTATAATCGGATGTAGCCTAACACTCAATGACACAGGGTTTATACTGGTTCAGGCAACGTGCCCTACGTCTAGTTTGAGTCGGTCGGTGACTTTATTCTTGAGCCCAGATGCTTGAAGTTTGCAGTGATGTTACAAACGAGAAGAAGAAAGATGGGGAGTACAAGAGGTCCGGTCGGACTCTGGTATGAGGAGACAAGAGTGACGGGAGCTCCACTATGTGCTAAGTGTTCAAGCATTGCTTGTGGTTTGAACCTGGTGGTTCTGTTGTTGTGTACTAGTGGACTGATCGATGTATCTGTTTTGGGAGATAGCGTATCCCCTTTTATACATGAAGGAGGATAGCCTTACAAGTGAGAGGGAGAGTGTATGTATATGCTAAGTCTTGTTGCCCACGCTATTGGATACAGGATGATTGTAGACGTCCATAACACTGTTTTTAATGTCAGATGCATGTGGAAGATTGCGTCGTCTTCTTCAGGTATGGCAGACGTCGGTGTCTGCCACACTGTTGATATCCAGAGTCATGCAAGGGGTTTTACTATGTTCGCTTGGTACGGTAAATGACGACGCCCACAACACTGTTGATACCTCAGAGGCACGTGGGGGGAGCCTTACCGTGTTTGTCTGGTATGGGAGTTGATGGCGCCCACAACACTGTAGGGGAAATGTCAGCGTCTACAACACTGCTTGGGTTCTGTCATGCCAGGAAGGTCATAGGGTACTGTCTGACAGGTGTATAGGGTACGGTCCTTGGTATTGCGGTTTAACTTGAGTACCCTACCTTACTTTCTCCGTCTGTTTCTAGTCCTTACCAAGCGGCGTCCCCGGTCGGTTGGTCTCAGTCGGCTCTTATTGGGCCAGTTGGAGAAGAGCAGTGGGTAGGGGTTTGGCGCATCCCCAGTCGGAGACGCGGGTCGGAGTCGGAAGCGGTGTTTGGCCAGGCCTTCCGGTCGGAGAGGCGGGCCAAAGTAGGAAGCGGGCGCTGTTCCTTCTCGGCCAAGCCTTCGGTTGAAGACTGGATCTCCCTTCTGTGTCGTTTTAGGTATTTGGGCTGGTCCATGAGTTACGCGTCGTTTGCAACGTTGTCTGCTGGGTCGAGCCTTTGTTGAAAAGCTGATCTATAAGGGACCCCGGGTTTATGAACCCGACAACAATAGTTTTCAGCGAAGGAACAATGTTTTTCTCTCACAAGAAATCAATATCAGCCAAATTTCAACGAAACGAACACGGCCATAATAACTAACTTGATTTTCATGCGAGTTGAAAAAAATGCCAAACAAAATTATGGCATGTTTGGCACAGCTCACAACAGCTTCATGAGCTGTTTTTTTACCAAACACTCATTTTCAAAACAACTTCATGGGTTTCTTCTCCTCTTATAAAGACATGAGTTGGAATAAAGCTAAAAAATAGCTCATCCTAGATCTCTCCCTCATTTCTCTCTCTCATCCTAGATCTCTCCCTCATTCACATAGAAAGTTGCTCATGAAGGTGTTTCTTAAAAAAAACAGCTTTACTAGTGAAGCTGAGCTGTGCCAAACGGGGTCTTAGTAAAAACAAAATTCAAATAACTATAAAATTAATAGTTTAATCTCCAAATGAACATAAAATATAAAATATCTAAATAATCCATGTAAATTATAATTAGAAAAATCTCTAAATTCAACATTAAAATTACAAAAAAGTAAATAAAAAGTCCATAAGTAAAGATTAAAAAAACACTATGTCACTACTTTTTACTCTTATAAGCGCTGTAAACTACCGCATTGATTTTGTAGGTCTAGATTGTAACATTTTTAGATTATCAAAAGGTATAAAAAATAATAAAGAATCCAATACATATTCAAGTACGGAAAATACGATGGCATAAAATTCAAATAGCTTACAACTGATTTTTACCATGGACAGAAGAAGAGTTAAAAGCTGACATGGACAGAAAGGTGCCACATTGATTCTTTGACATCAGCCACATCCAACAGCATGGCATCAGCTGCTAAGTACTGGTACGGTACTGGTTTCCTCGGAGACAAATAATACTAGTAACTAACTTGATTTTCACGCGAGATGAAAAAAAGATATCTAAATAAGTAGTCTATATAAAACAAAATTAGTAGACACAAAATTCAAATAAATATAAAAAATAATAGTTTAATCTCCAAATTAACAGGAAAGATAAAATTTCTAAGTAATCCATGTAAGTTATAATTAGAAAAACTCTAAAATCAACATTAAAACTACAAAAAAGTAAATAAAAAGTCTGTCAGTAAAGTTAAAAAAATCACTACTATTTTACTCTTATAAGCACTAAAAACTACCACATTTTAGATCTATCATATCAAAAGGTATAAAAAACTAACAAAGAATCTATATTACATATTCAAGTACGGAAAAGACGATACCATAAAATTCAAATAGCTTACAAGTTACAACATATTTTACCATGGTAATAAAAAACAAGAAAACCATAGGGAATGTCTAAGGAAAGTTGGATGTACAAGAGCTATCCAAGTCGAACATCAATGTTTTGGCATTGCCCATGAAAAAACATCGAAGTAGTTTGGATCCACATGCTGCTCCTTCCTTATCACACTCTATACCTCGGCGATCTTAACCTATTTTCTCACCTCGCATAAGCTCACCAAGACACTCTTTTCACATGTTTCTCGCCGAAAAGTTTTGGCATCACAATCGACATTAATGAATAGGACACATCCATACATAATGCTTTGATTCCAATCACGATTTTCATGGTGGTGGCCTAGGGGATGAACATGTTTCATTGGGCACATGCAATTGGTCCATCGATTCCATAATATGAATGTGTCACAAGCTCATGAATAGAGCAAGAGATCATTTGAATTTTCTCTTCGCGAGAGCATGGATAGCCACTCTGAGATTAGTTCTATAGTTTGTTTCAAAAGGCTCGAGGGGCCGATAGATGTTCGATTATTGGCTGTTTGAGACAGCAGTTGCCCTAGAAAACATTAGTAGTATTGCAAAAATAGGTAACTACAAGTATGCAAGAAAAGGTCCAAGATTATCCAAAATATAAATTACAATACAAGAGACTTGCAAGAGGGGCAACAAAGAAATACTAAACCATATAGCAGTAGGAGGCAAGAGACTAGCCCAGCGATTAGGCTGTTTGCCAGACTGTTTTATTGAGAATTGAGTTCACCGAGAGAAAACTAAAGGCTATCTTGATTTCGCCTCAGCACAAAATGCACAATTATAGTATATGAATGGGAAAGAAAACTTTAAGCTAACGAATTGGTTGGCGATAACTATAAAATTTGAGCCGATTGACAGATACAGTGCATGCACATTGACATAAGACAATTACAACAAAAACAAGTAATCAAACTATTTAAAAATATTTTCAACTAATACATCCTGGTGTTAGTGAAAAAAAAGCTGATCACCCGCGCTACTGGCGCAGGCCTCCTTCATACTAATTATAACTGAATGGTTGTGTTTTTTACCTTGTAACAACCATCCAGCAAAAAGCTTATAGGCAGCACAAGTGTTTGGAATTGGACTGACTACAGATCATCTCTTCATGAGAAGTTCATGATCTAACAAATGTAACAAAAAGAATTTGTAGTAACTCTGACCAGAAAAAAAGAGAGAAAAAACTTCATAACGTCAGCGGGTTATCAATCACCAACCACGGCTGCGCTCCACTGACAAGCTCAAACCGGTCTTGAAGCTCACAGTCTAACGGGCAAGCCGTAGTTGGGAAAAGATCGGATCACGCCATCACGGCTGGCGGTCACGATGACCGTGCTCCACGCGGCGGATATCATGGAGAGGCAGTCGCCCAGCTGCGGGCTGCTTTCAGGCTTTGCAGTAGAAGGCAACTTCTCCTCAGGCCATGTCACCGATCCCTTGCTGCAGTCCACGAACGACCACGGCCCAGGGGACTGGCACTCCTCGTGGTGGCGCAAAATGGGCGCGCTGGAGGATTTCTCAGTCAGGCAGGAAGGTTTCGTGTGCCCATCTTGGTGCACTCCTGGCCATGGTATTGCGGTAGTCACATTTTTGGAGAAGAACAGCTCACATGAATGAACTGATTTAGCATCTCCAGAATTCGCAAAGTTCCAAATATAGACATTGGAATCTTTGCCGGAAGATATAAGATATCTGCCGTCTGATGTTAAAGACGGTGATGATAGAGCCTTCGACTTCCAAGGCCCTGTATCAGAGACAAGTAAAAAAAAAAAGCAGCAGCATCTATCAGTAACTGAAGTCAAGAGGTGTAACATGGTTGGAACATGATGAGTTTCTACTTTCTGTGTGAATCTACCTTCAAACTTTTGGATGGTATCACCATTGGCGACTCGGATTTTGGAATCTCCTGATGTAATTATAATCCCATTGGAATCACTTGTACATAACTGCAAAACAGAGGTCACAAATTAGCGGTTTGATCTGATTTAATAATTGCAAGAATACTAGTGCTTTCACCAACTCGCTGAAGAAAAATCATATAGTATGAGCCAAGGGAGAAATAAACCTCTAGACTGTTGATCCGACTGGCAGCTGACTTTTTCTTCCCTTGCACAAACAATTCTTTCTCTAGCTGGGTGTTTTCACCTAAAAAATAAAATTGAACCACTCACTCTTAGTACTGAATTATTGGTAAACATGTTTGGCAATCACGATGGTTTACTATTACACATTGAAGTTGGAACACTCAACATAAGTGAAATTACATTAAGAAACAAGACCTGCATGTACCTGATTGATCATAGAAACGACATGCGCCTGCAATCGTGCCAACAATAAAACCCTGGTTTGCAAAAGCATGAATTAGAACCCACTTATGGAAAAAAAATACTGCTATGACATGGTATCTGATTCACACCTTTCCATCTGGTTGGTAACTCAAAGCAGTTATGATATTTCGTGTATCAGCCCAGTCAGTTACTCGCTTGTCCAACACATCCCAAATGCGCACTTTACCATCTAATGAACCGCTGATGAAGTATTTCTCATCAATAGGGTTGAATTGAACACATGTTACTGTTGTCAATTACAAAGGAACAGAAAAGAGAGTCAGGTTCTTATCCAAGAAAAAATATTTAAGTTCTTATTATGCTTCAATGCACAAGGTCCTTCTCATCATCACAACAATGTTGCTACACAAAAGGATATCAACATTGAGCAAAGATTCCAATTAATTTTTCAAAACATGTAATAGTTTACCAATATTCTACTTACCATAGTCTTTGTGTTTGAAAACTGCAAGACAACCATCACAGCCAGGTTTCCATAAGCGCACTGTCTTATCTTTAGATGAAGTTAAGAGATACTGCAGTCAAACCAAGACAAAAAAAAAGGGTAAGCAATTTAACAGGGAAACAGCACTAACTAATACTCCCTCCATTTTAAATATATGAAGTTTAGTGACAACCTAATTAGTTTATTTTTTTAGCTAATTAGCTTGTCCTAAGCACCATATATTTAAAAATGGAGGGAGTATCTGTTTATGATGCATGGAAACAGGTTAGTGAATATAGGTTAAGTGGTCTGAGTAAGATATGTGAGGTATGCAGAATACAAAGGAAGACCTACATCTGATTTGGACCATGCCATATCAAGGATATCACTTGTATGGCCACGGAATTCATGTAATGGGGTCTCCGATATACGAAAAACCTTCTTGGGTATAACTGCAAGTGCCTGGTTCTGCCCCTTTTCTATATTTGTATTAAAGACCTGAACTTTCTCCACCTTTTCATAGGAATCCTCTCCCCTATACAACTTAGGAGATGCTTCTACTTCTATGATTTGCCATATTCGTACAACACAATCCTCACCACCACTTGCTAAATACCATCCAGATGTGCTGAATTTCATGACCCTAATTGAACCCTTGTGAGCTCTGATCTCTTGATCCATGTAGACAGCAGAGAATTCAAGAAATTTTTTCTTCCGATGTTGAACTCTTGTTCTGGTTGGTACACTATTTGTGCAATTTTTCACATGGACATCATACTTGCAAATGCCACCAAAGCTTCTGTTTGTCACGAATTTCTTCCACAAGCTTTTCACATCCTTTTTCTTAGCACTTTTTGTTTCTTTTGCAGGACTGTTACCACATCCCCTCCGCAATAATTTCTGAACAGACCGAGAGAGGCCAAGCAAACTCTCAAATTCCAGAAGAGACATCACCTTATCTGATCCAACCTCTTTGAGCATGTCAGTTATACTGCTATGTGCACCATTGTGGACAATATATCTCTTTCCACTATCCATATCCCTTATGCAACAGGCACCGTCAAACTCCGATTCATTGTCACAAACAGATGAATCCACGGAAGAATGGCCACTGGCAGTTCTCTCCTCCATCTCAGTGGAAGACTCAGCGGCTGTGATTTCACCATGGCATTGGAAAGAATCTGTTCTGGCAGAAACAAAATCATCGAATCCCATTCCCTTAAGGAACCTTTGCCGCCTTTCTTGAACACTCATTGGCTCGTTTGCCCAAATCTCATACTCAAATTTCATTGGCACTGAAACTTCATCACTTGTGCTGCAATCCTCGGAACATGAAGGTTCCCCTGGAGATCGAACATCTTCAAATGCGTCGAAGAAAACATCATCACTGTCTGATTCAGACCTTGGCATCTTCAATGAATTTGATTCAGCACCAAACAGTGTATTGACACGGTGGGGCTCCAGCACTCACTGAAGGCTGTGGGAAATCAGACTGTCATCTGCAATCAACAATGCAAATATGAGCCTATGGTAAAGGAAAAAGGGTGGTAACATGAGAAGAAGACGGAGCAGCACCCCAGAAAATGACTCCCACCAAAAGTATGGGCAAGTGGACATCTTTTCAAGTTAAAATTTCCAAAGTTCGGTTATCTTATTCGCACGGACCAAAAGAAAATTCTGTTTACATTAAAGATGTATACGACCAGAAGTATTAAGTAAAGCAGGATGTAGCTAGTTCAATTACTCAAAAAACAAAAGTATACACAAAGCAAAGTAGGAAGGTCTGCATAGAATGGAGCTGCAAGACCAGAGAGGCCCAAAAAGTTCAGTTCGGCAGCAGTTCACTGTTTACACTGCGAATAACAAGAGGAAAGTTCGCCAAGATGGGCCAAAAGAGCAGCATATAGCAAGATATTCAGAACGAACTAAAAATCCTCACTCGTGGAGCAATGCAAACCGCTACCATTTCAAGCAGAGCAAAGCAAATGCTACTATGCTAGTAGCCTAGTACTACAGCAGTGCTCACCAGGTCCACAACTGTGAACTGTCACAGGTTGTCAACAATAAACCAAACCAAAGAAAGCATAAGCCCAGGCTACCCACCACTAAACTAGGCAACAACTCGACACCCGTAAACCTGGCGGCCTCGGTTAATCTTTAATCACCGCCGCCTCCGTCCGGCACTCCTGACAACGCTCACCAACAAGGCAACAACTCGACACCCGTACGCCTCAAGCCGCCGCACCTAGGGAATCCCACCGTGCGGACGAAGCAAGAACCAAGAAGAACCCGGCAACACCAACAACCCACACGGACACGGGGGCCGGACGGACGGAGCCCGCAGATCCCGAGGTAGGGAACTGGCGGAGCAACAGCGAAAAACAGCGCGGAAAGGCTAGCGGCAATAAAGGGATTCCTTCGACTAGGGGTGGTGCGGCGCACAGCGTACCGTGGATGGGACAGCGGGAAGGGGAGGAGCAGGAGGGGGCCTGCCGGCGGGCGCCGCCGCCTATTTGTCTCCTGCATCTGCGCTGCGCCGACCGGGCCGCAGGCGTAGGGGCGTAACTCCGCTCTCCGCGTACATGGCCATTAAAGTCGCGGCCTTTCAGTTGAGAGGAAGTGCCCCGGTGGGGGAAACAAAATTAAATTAAAGTTTTTTTTTTTGCTCTTTTGGTCAGAACCTTGTACTAGTGGAGAAAAAGAGAGTTTTGTTTGTTCTTATATGCAGAAATGCAGAGTCAAAGAACAACGGAAGACAAATTTCTTTATTCGTTTTTTCATATAAGAAGAAAGAAACCATTGAACCGAAAGAATTTACTTACTGCTAGAGTGAATTTTGTACAAAAACTCGAAGTGAAGAGAAACGAAGCGCTTGGTTGCGTGTGTTCTGTGGGCACCGCGCCAATAAATTGGGCGTCCACTCGCACCGGTGGAAAATGTAAATGCTGGACTCCGTTTCGAAAGGGTAAGGCTGTGTTTAGTCGAGGGAAAGAAATTTGGGTACCGTAGTTTTTTCGTTTTTATTTGATAAATAGTGTTTAATTATGGAACTAATTACTAATTAGGCTCAAAACGTTTGTCTCGCGATTTACAACCAAACTGTACAATTAGTTTTTTGTCTATATTTAATGCTCTATACACGTATCGTAAGATTCGATATGATGGATACTATTTCTCTTTTTTGGAAGTTTTTTTGCAACTAACCAGGCCTAAGTGGGCAACCACGCTCTTCCATTTCCAACCGACAGAAAATTTGAAAACAAAAAAAAAGCATGCGGAATCAGGGAGATGGGTCCCCAAGAATCCAGCACTAATTTCCGGGCTAATTTTGCATGGCATAAGCAAAACGAGGTTAGTTTTCAGGGAACTGAGCGGAACATTCCGAAAATAAATCAAAATCAAGAGTTTCTCAGTAAATAACCCATTCTGATGTGAATTAGATGGACTACGGTGCTCTTTCAGAGCAGTCTGGACTGTTCCCAATCAATTTCGCGCACAACTAAATCGATCGAGAAGCTAGGAAAAACCAAACGGGTGGAGAGAAGCCAAAGCGGATCACTGTGCCATTGCCTCGTGAGATCGACCGCCTAATTAAACGGAGAAGAGAACGGCGAGAATTCAGAGCACATCACTCACCTACTGCGAGAGCCCTCCACGGCCTCTCCCCCAGCCGCCGCCGATCTTCTCCCGCCGCCACGCGCCATCCCGGTTGCGGTAGGATCAGACTCGAGGATGATGGCCCGACTCCGAGGGAGGCCTCGGCGGAGGGTACTTGGAGAGGACAAGCAGGAATGGGAGGCTTCCTCCGCTCCGGAGTCCGGCTGGCCGCCTCGTTTGCTCCGGTCTCTGTTCTTGGTTTCCAAGGCAGAGACAGAGAGAGAGAGAGGCGTTTGTTTGTTTGTTTGTTTGGGTCTCCGTCGCCGTCTAGTGGCGCTCTTATGCTGGGCTAACCCCGACGCGGTCTTCCATTCCACTTGGTCGTGTCGCTTTCCTGGGGCCGGACCCGGACCCCGGGCCGGGTCCGTGTGGGCCGGCCCGCCCTTGGATTCCTGATGAGTTTTTCTTAAAGGTTGAATTGGTGGACTGCTGTGTGTGCTCCATTGGTACTAGTAGTACGTACTACTACGACTCTATCAGCGCGTCCTGTCATGAGAGAGAGAGAGAGAGATGAAAGGCAAAGGTAGTACTACCAGCATGTCGTTCCGCGAAATTTCTATTCCTTCGGTGATAGCTAGGATAAGATATTTTGTAGTACTAATTTTTTGACGTTACTATATAAGAAGAGGACATTGTTTCACCTAAAACTGGAGTCCGAAAAGTTACACAGACCTAGGTAAAATACTTGTTGGCATTCATATGACAGATTGTTTGTTGCTAGTATTAGCGTTTCCTAGTTTTGTTTGGTTGTGTAAAAGGCCTAAAGACTTGCCTTAGTAGTTGCAGCCACATGTGTAATGCTGTAGTAGACTTATATGTTACTGTTATTAAAAACAGTACAACTCATCCATCTAGACAAAAAGCGTTATCCCCTTGTGATGTCCAAACCGCGCATCACAAGTGCAGACGCAACGCATGAACGCAATAGATAAAAAGGATGCATGTGATGTGGGTGAAGGGGAATCACCACCCCCACCTCCTGAGTCCTGATAAACAAAACCCAGCTTTTAATCTGTCCACGGGGCAAGGTCACTGACCGCTTTCGCCGATTCTTCTTCCTACCATTTGCTCGTGTTCACACGGGTGCTGAGACTGGAACCCGGGCACTTTACTGCACGGGAATGGAATGGTGTGCAGTAGCATTTTTTTTTTCAGGTGATGTGATGTGATGTTAACAATGAAATTAAGCCGAAACGAGCGGTCTGGTCTGGCTTATGAAAGGTAGCAGCACCAGATACTCGTATAGTATGATCCAGCCCCATGCATTAGTTGGTCTAATCTGGCAAGGTTATTAGTTTACGAGTATAGCTTGGGCCATGATTAGAAAGCTACGACTAGGGGGTTTCCAGGCTTTGTGCTGGGCTTGTAGCTGCTTCGATATTTGTACGTACATGTTGCCAATTGGCTGCTGCTCCATCATGGGCGTTGGAAAACCAGCTCCTGACTCTGGAGATTTCAGGAAACCAAAAATCAAGTGGGAAGTGGGGAACAATTGCGCACCTGAGGCCTCGTTTAGATTGCAAATTTTTGTAACTTGGACACTGTAGCACGTTTTGTTTGTATTTGACAAACTTTGTCCGATCATGGACTAACTAGGCTCAAAAGATCCATCTCGTGATTTACAACCAAACTGTGTAATTAGTTATTTTTTACCTACATTTAATGCTCCATGCATGCGTCCAAAAATTGATGCGATGGAGAGAGAGAGTGAAAAAACTTAGAATTTAGAGGTGATCTAAGCAAGGCCTGAAAAACAGTTGCTGCTGCAGCAGTGGAGTGCAGCAGGGGCCCCAGATTTACTGTATGTGTAACAGGAGCAGCGAGCGAGCAGCAGCCGGCCGTCGCTCGCTGTCGCTGGTCCGGATTCAGGAAGCAGAGTCTGCCGGCCGCCGCAGTCGCAGAGGACACGGTCAGGTAAAAGGCGGCTGTACGCTGGCCGCCAGCCCGGCAAGCAGCAGGGACACGGTCAGGTCAGGTAAGGTAAGGGCTGCCTACGTACGACTGCACGCCTACCATAGCAATATACTATAATAGGCAGATCGCCAGTCAGCCAGAGTGTCACGGATTGTTTGTTTGTTATAATCAGCTGCGGCTGCAAATGGCAAATGACTTGCATTGCTTAAGCCCTATGGGTGTGGGATGCCAAGTCAAAGCCTCGCTTTGCCTCTAACACCCCCCCTGTAAACAACACCGGCGATCATGTGGCCGTGAGCTCGCCAAGACAGCGACGGGCCATTAACAATAATCATGTAGTAATGCACTCCAGTTCTCTGTGGGCTCGTTAAGCCTGGAAGATTCCGCGCGCCTTTTTGCATGGATCCCCGTGCATGAACTCCGAAAAGTTTGGCGTTTTCGCCGATTGGCCGTCCGCGACGACTAACACGGCCTCTAATAGCTTGCTGCTGCAGCTGCAAGCGCCATACGATTAAAATGGCCGTCACATGGCAAGCGCCACTAGGCATTCATACATCTTTGCAATTTTTTTTTTTGAAAAAAAAAGAAACAAAAAATGGAGGTGTTGGGACGGGAGTGGAAGTTGCAAGTGGCTCCTGGCGCGTAGAGTACGTGTTGCGCTCATGTGCTTCCACGACCCAACGAATAACCTCTCCAGCGACGTCGGTCCGCAGCCGCACGCTCTGTCACACAAAAAAGGTTCCGTGCTGCCTGCGTGTGTCAGCTGGTGATTATTGCTCCACCCTCCACGGATTAACAAAACAATGGGGTGTCTGTGCCGTCGTCTTCACTTGGCCACG